CATGTATTTGAAAAAATCCTCATTAAAGCTGTATTGATTTCAGTTGTTTAGAGTCTGTCACGTGTATTCACAGCGTGTCGAGCATTTCGCTTTGGCGCCATCTTATGGATGTCCGTACTCCTGTTTTTGAGTCAGTTTCCTGTTTCCTAACGGGTTGAACTGGAACAACCTTGCATGTCGTGTTGCTGATTTTATTACAGATATGTGAAGGATTTTAGCGTGTAAATTTCTTTGTCACAGAAAGCAGATTCATGTTTTGTGACGCCGGCTATTTATTTTGTTAAAATCAGAAAAAGTTCAATAATGCTTGAAAGCCAGTCATCGTCTTTGTTCACTTGTGCGATTGTTAAGTACATTTCTATCCTGAAGTAGGTAGGCTAAACGCACCTCACTGTTACAACTGCTATACATATACGGTATATGGAACTATTGCCATGTGCCATAATTAGTCACCGAATCTGAGAACAGATTTTAAAAAAGTATGTTTGAAGCATACAGAGCTCCAAAAATCGTTTCTAAAAATATTGTCGAGTATTACAATTTCGATAATATTTATAAAAGGATTAGGAACACATGGGGGATTGTAGTGTTAATAGTTTGATGGTCATTAACTGCATAAATAATTTAGTCCTGTGAGATATGAATGCGCAGGGATACATGTCAAGGTGAACAGAAATACATTCTCGGCGGCATGGTGGGTTAATCGCTTTTTTTAATCGCTTTAAGTATTAGTTGCTCTCTTGTATACTGAATTGTAGCAGCAAAAGTGTCTTATTTTGCGTGCAAATATCGCGTGCTGCTTCGTAGAAAGTTGAGCAAGTTGCAGATAGAGGCGAGACACTACGGCGATAGTAAAATTTAGCGGTCTTTTATCAGGCATGCGCAGTAAATTGTATTTGTTTCTCCTGCTTTTGAACGAACAGTACATAACACTACAAAGCATGGGATTATTCTATGTGATAATTTATAAAAGCCAGAATTTTAAATTTGAAACAAAAGGCCACCAAGTATTTTTCATTGAAGCACACAAAATATAAAAAAGGATTGAAATTTTAGGAATATTACGGTATTGAACAGTCACATTTTCTGTCGTTTAGCAAAACTTCCAACAGTCCACAAGAGTAGGAATAAATCGTAAAAAGTAATATTATAAGTGAGTAAAATAAGTGGTCGAGTGTTACGAGATATCTTGCTGACACGCTTTTCCGCGTGTCGTTATCGCCATCTTGCGGATATGTTACGGTATTTGCGAAAATCGATTTATACTGCAGAACACTCGGTAAATCACCTTTATTGTAGTAAACACAAAATTTATTTTTATAATGGAAACAATAATCATAAATCTAGAAAAGATAATGTTTCTACATCAGATCATGATCCTAGACCAGCGGTTCTTAATTCTATTGGGCCCCAGAGCTGTACTATTGGGGCCACAATGCTAGACACGAAACTTTTTACTTTTCCCTTTACAAGTAAACTCCCAACTTCTTTCAAGTTTCATTGTTTACTACGTTTATTTCACATGGTGTTTTCACTTATTGTGTACGAATTGTTTGAACATAATAGGATTTAGAATCACCCAATCAAATAACATTATAAATACCACAAGAGTGGAGTGGTAAACAGGGGGGGGGGGGACATGAGTGCTGGGAACTTCCGGAAGGTGGTCACCCACCATAAAAGGTTAGAAACCGCTGTCCTAGGACCTACACATTACTAAGTCATTACAGAAATACCAATCCGGAAAGCAAAGTTGCCATCTGCTTAAATAGGACATTCTGTTTGCAGAAGTAGGAATGTTGTTGCTTGTTGGTTAGTGTATAGTCTTTTATCTCAATATAACTGGGTAGGGTGACGAGAAGCGATTTAAACCCCACCATTTAACCTGCTATGTCATCATAGTCGAATCAAATGTGGCACAAGGCAGGTTTCGTTATATATGCATCGACCAGGTATTTATTTATAAAAAAGCCATAAAAAAATTGGATATTTTGTACAAAATTTAGGGCTAGGACAAGGGCTAGGAATGCCAGATAGTTCTGGAAATTCAAATCATTTATAACACGAACCCCAACTGAATAATTACGAATTCGTTATTTTTGAACGTGGCGGGCTTTGTGCGAAAGATCCAAATATGTACATAGTATTCTGCAGTTGAATTTTTTCAGAAATTTTTTTAAATAATAATTATCTTTGATTCTGCGTTCGTTCATTGGTTGTCTCTTTCAAATAAACTGAAGACCCCCTCCCCCGGACACGCCTTGGGGGTGGGGGGATTTCACTTATGTTATGTTTTAATAGGATTTTGACTTTCAATTCTCCCTTTTATTTACCTCTGCTATGAAAGATCGACAAATTTGAAGTACTCATATCGAAAATATGCGGCAACTTTTCGCAATATTTCAAAAAAAAAATGGGAGCGTTTGTTGATCAGGGAAAAACCATGTTTCATAACACGACGATACTTCTAAATCTCGAGTGTGTAATCATTGCCTGATTCAACAGTAAGTAACCGACATAAACACCATTTCAACTTTATTTCAATCAAAAAATTCAAACGACCATGTACGTTGTTCATACACCATTCGGTTCCGGGAAACGCGCGTTCAACATTTTTGCCTTTTTGAACTAGCATAACCCTGGCCTCCGATTTTTCACATTCCAACCATTGCTAACGAAATAGCAATGCAAAAAAACAGCTATCTATCTCGCCTTTGTCTGCTGATATCTGAATTTATAGCGAAGATTGCCAGCCTTTATTCCCTAATTTACCTCATTGCGAATTTAAAATCAAATTCACCCCTCATGGCAAAATTCAACTTGTTTTATGTCCAGGAATGGCGGTATTTCAATGCATTTCTACGTGTGTTATGTCAGTGTTTGGAAAATATAGTAAGGGCTTCGAGTAAAATTATAATCAGAATATATTACCGATGTTAAATTTGCGTTGCGATGTCTGAACAGAAAGTAAATAATTGACGTCAACTTCCGCGATATTTTTAAACGATAATGACCTCGTATTGCGCGATTGCCACCAGGTAAACTCATGTTGATAATAAATGAAGCACAATCGGTGTTAGCAAAACGATGTAATTTGCCGACGTTTCGAATTTCTATACAGAAAAACTTCATCAGGGCATGATATGGAAAAGACACAAGTGGATATATATAGAGCAAGAAAAAGAAAAAATATGAAAAAATTATCATGGCGTCAACTCTAATCTAAAAGGATGATGATAAGATAATATGTATAAATAAACAAACTAGCGCAAGTTCAAACAAAAGGTTTATTTATACATATTATCTTATCATCATCCTTTTAGATTAGAGTTGACGCCATGATAATTTTTTCATATTTTTTCTTTTTCTTGCTCTATATATATCCACTTGTGTCTTTTCCATATCATGCCCTGATGAAGTTTTTCTGTATAGAAATTCGAAACGTCGGCAAATTACATCGTTTTGCTAACACTCGTGTGCTTCATTTATTATCAAAATGACCTCGTATAATCACAAATGTGTTTTGAAAATGCGTTACTTTAAAATGATGGCGTTACTCATGAACGATGCAGCGGAAATTACTTGAACGATAGCGGGAATTGCACCGGATGTTTTGATAATATAATCGGTTTCTCAGCACCATATGCTTTACTAAACCTACACCGGCATATTTAATAAATGTTATATAGAGCCAGGCCTGGACCAAAGCTTAATACTTTCATTTAAAAGTCAACCTAATTAAGCTATCTTAGTTCAACTGTGGCACAAACATAGGTTCATTGCAGTAACACAAGGCCATGTAATGTTGTGATCAACTGAACGGACATATACGACTCGTATCGCTTGCCCATCTCTGAAATCATCGCACGTAACGCCGAATAAGGACAACGAGGTACTGGGGCTATTTCTATACATAAGGCTCACTGGTTTAGAAGGCTTAGCCCGTACTGACACTGTTTTAGAGTGTAGCGTTACATTTTTGACCATTAAATTTGTGGAACTGGCCTATATGCACACGATCAATTTTTAAGATAAAAGGGATTTAAAGTGTGCCTTGTGGTCCGTAAAACACTGTATATTGATTTGCTCGAATCATCCAGAAGTCGCTTCAAAAATTGCGCGGATGAATAAATAAATATTGTTATCCTAATCTCCTATTTCAATGACCGAACAGGTATGGAAATATGCTTGGTGGCGTTACAAACTTACAGCCTATTTAATTGCGGGGTCAAATTGAGTAGAAATTATAACCGAAGAACAAAAATGATGTCATTTTTCCCTTTTATTACCTTTTAACATTAAATTTCTAACAAAATCATGCTTAAAGTTATTTTACGAGCCTTGAGTGTAGCGAATTCAATGGTGTACAAATCTCTTTTTCATATCACATATTCGACGTCCGAAATCCTCATTCGACGTCCGAAATTCTATACTCGATGTCTTAAATCTTATATTCGGCTTCCGCAATCCTATATTCGACGTCCGAATCATACATTCGACGTCCGAAATCCTATATCAGGGGTACGAAATCTTATATTCGACGTCCGAATCCTATATTCGACGTCCGAAATTCTATATACGACGTCCGAAATCTTATATTCGACGTCCAAATATTACATTCGACGTCCAAATCCTATATCCGCCGTATGAAATCTTATATCGACGTCCTAACCCTAAATTATTAATTGTCAGTTAATATACTTATATCTACCCAGACTGGGCCAGCGAAATCAGTTCCGCAATATCTGAAGCCGACAAGACATGTCTGATCTTTATTTTCATATAATAGGATTTATGATGGCGGTTAATATGCCATATTGCGCAAAATGTACCAGAATTCCACCAAATATGACTCTCACATGCGTGGTAGTGACCTCTTCGTCAGCGTTTCATAAAGATAGAAAGAGCAGCCCAAACTCTCTTTTTGTGACGCAACACGTCTCCTGAAATTTGAAAGAGAGAAAACATTTCCTTTCCGCTTAAAAGTAGTGAGTGAGCTCGCATAGGATATTGTCCGATGCGAATAGACTGAAGTTTCCTTCTAACCTACGTTGTTCGGAAATCTAATTTCATCGAAGCAAAATTGACAAAATTTCTGAATTCGAAATGAAAATTCCGATTCGACACAGTTTCATCTTACTAATACTGTTGATGGAAGCTTGTTTATTGATTAAAGGTCAGTATAACCGTGCATGCTTTGTTGGGTTTGCTTGCTGGCTCGGGTTTTGTTTTTTGGGGAAGCGCTATGATCGACACATGCAAACTACGACCCGAGGGCCAAATCCGTCCCGACTTGTTATTCAATCTGGCCCGCCTGAACCACCACAACCAAACTAAAACCAAATTTTGATATTTAGCTAAAAATTTCTCTAGGAATTTGTTGAGATTGCAATTAAATTCGGTTTTGACACAAGGCCTGTTGTTTTCATTTCTGCTTTTGTAACGCATATACATGTCCCGCCAGTCTTGGTGAGTAACATTTTTTATCCCTGGTCCCTTACGCGATAGAATAGTTAATTTTCTTTGGATATTTGATACCCAGTTGGTAATTTTTACATCGCATCGTTTTCCTTTGCGCAAATTAGGCAAGATAATAAAGCTGCTTTAAATAAAACTGCATATTGAATAATATTCTGGCATAATTTGTGTTAAAATTCATATAGTCTTAATGTCGGCTGTTTTTTCGGCACTTCAAAAGTGTGTGTATCAATATGAAGGTGTTTAATTTTGTTCTCTCATCTTTCATCAAGTTGTGTAAAGGACTGGAACCCATGGGCAGGAGTTCTATTCACTTGGCTAACACAGACCGTCCCGAACTTGTAATAGAACTAAAATGTGAGAAATCGGAATAAAATTATGGCCTAACCCTAACCTGGTACATATACTTAGGGAGTACCGTTTTTCAATCGGCTTATAGTAAATGCTGATTTTACAAAAGCAAAAAATGAAAACAAATACTAAAAACCTTCCCAGCGATTTTCGAATATGAAAATTGGTGAATTGTACAGAGGATTAGATATTTAGAAATTATATAAAGACTCCAAAAATCAGGCCATTGATATTTTCCGAAACACACCGAAAAATTGTGCAAAAAGACGATGAAAAGAAAACACTTTATTTGTCGAATTCAACAAATTTCAACATCTTATAAATGTATTCGTACATCGCTTTAGCTAATATAGGCGACAAGCCTTAACTGTGAATTGAAACAAGTTAATTGACAACTTTCAAATCTGTTTTCTCCCCTCACGGCTGGAATATTTGTATCAGGGGGAATATTTATTTATTCCGGCGTAGGGGAGGCCGGTATGACGGTGTAATAGTAAGGCGAACCTCGGTCTCTCGATGGAGGTTAAACCGACATTTAAATATTTAAAATATTGATATTCAACTTATAGCTTTTTTCTCGAATACCTCGTTTATTTTTTCACGTATTGGATGCGTTGCTGTACTGTAAACAGGGCTGGATTTAACAGGCAAAGTAGGCCGAAGTCTCGGGGCTATCGGCATTAAATTTTAAACTATTATTAATTTTTAAATCGTTTTTGGATTGTAAAAGATTGTTCTCGAACAAAATCGGTTTAGAATTTTATCAAGCTGATATAATCAAGTGAATTCTCGTCCCAAATAATTACCGTACTAAAAATTAAAAACAGTACAATGATAAACTTACCGGTATATAAATTCAAAAAAACCATACTCTTGTGCCATGGCGTTTATTACGGCCGGAATTTCTTAATCCACTATCCAATCTACTTGCGCAATTAGCGTATTTTGCCAATAGCGAAAATGCCACGCAATTTAATGTCATATAATGTATTCTTTATGACGGCATTGTTTAAGACGAGTCTCGAAAACGTAGAAGCCTGGTGCCTTTATCGTCTAAATCACGCCCTGACTGTAGGTCTTACTAAGTGGCCCTTCCTGCGCTGCAAAAACACTTCGGTTTTGAAGTCTCCGATGAGAAGATTTCTTTATTTGAAACGTTTTGTTTTTTTAAATTTAAATTTTGAATAGCGTAATACACACTCTGTAACAAATTAACCAATAATTTGGATAATGGAAGTCAAATTCTATATAATAATTGACGTAATCGAAATATTGAAAAGATCTTTCTAGTCTTTCTCGTGTATGAGAAAATGGATATTTTCCCATGTCAGGTGACCCATAAACAACCGAAATATTGAAGAGATCTTTCTAGATCATTCGAAATATTGAGTCTAGATCTTTCTCGTGTATGAGAAAATGGATATTTCCCATGTCAGGTAACCTATAAACAAGTGTAATTATTGTAAGAAGGGTACCGAACATTCTAGATATGAGCAAAAATTGCTCCGTGGGAAACGAGATTTTTGGATAATAAAGAAAGGTACCGTTTTTGGCGAGCGAGATGAAAAAGATGTTACCGTTTAAATAGACATTTGATCGTGGTTTTCACGGCTTTTTCTATTTCAATTCGTTCTATACAACAACGATTATTCATCACCAGAAGTCGTCTCGCTGATGACGCCGAATATCGAGATTATTATGGATTTTACTTAACAACCGTAAATAAGTCTTTATATCTTATTACTTAGTATTGTTTTGTACGTTTTTTAATTTTGTCTTACTGTCATACTTATTGTAATTATGTACCTGTTATTGTTTTGGTGGTTTAATTTTGTTATGGTAATTTTGTAACTGGTATTGCTTAGTGGGGTTTGGGTTATATTGGATAGATATTACGTAAGTTAAATTAGGGGTGAATCATTATAAATTACCACATATTACCCCAGAAATGTCAAAAGGTCGATTTGTTGACGAAATCGACCCACAATTCGGACTTGGATTTGGATATTTCTGAACCTAATTCAGTTAAATACGAAATAATTAATAAAGTGCATTGGCAAAGTTTTTTCTCCAATAGAAATAAAACCAGCTCTATTCCGAATAATAAAGATACCAGTGCGAATCCCTACCTAATAGACATGTTTAGAAACGTACTTCATCATGTTGTTTAATTTTAAATTTTTTTTACATTCACTCTTTTTTATATTCACTCTATTTCTAAGATATAGTACTTTTCCATTTGTATATTTATGATGTTACAATTTGGCTTTCAATTTTGATGAATTAATGGTAGAAGAATTTGAATGTTTAAACTTTAAATGACTTTCGAGAGATTTATAATAACTGGAAGCTTGGCGGGAATTAACAAACCCCTTTTTGATTGGATAGATTTCGTTATTACTAAAATGCCCTTGAAAGTAAATTCAGTGATTGAATGAGCTCCACGCTCGACTTAACAAAAATTAGACGAAATACGTTATATTCTCCGAAAAAGCCCGGAGCTGGCATAACAAAACAAAAAAAAATGCGCTACTTCAACCCGACATGGGGCAAATATAGACCAACTAGGTTGCAAAATTGCATCAATGCGCTATTTCAGCTCGACATTGGGCAAATATAGACCAACTAGGTCGCAAAATTGCAACAATGCGCTATTTCAACCCGACATGGGTAAATACAAACCAACTAGGTCAAAAATTGTAACAATGCGCCCAGAGGCACCCATGAGGATGACCAAATGGGGTCTAAAGGATCTTTTTCAGATGAAAAAGTCAAGCTGGTAACGCGCAAACATTGACACGTAACAGAGCAAGAAGCTCAGTCGAGCAGCCAACTAGGCTTATGATTTGATCTAAACACCAATAAAATATTGAAGTGCCCAATTTCCACCAAATGGAGTGGCAATTTTTCGTCAATTCAACGTCTATTTTTCGCCAGTTTTTCGATTTTTTTTGTTGGTTTACTGTGTCATACGTAATCAAGAAAATATTGCAGTACTAATTTCCCACCATTTTTATGTCTCATTCTCGCCTTTTTTTTGTTCGACCGATTTTCAGTGTCTTATATATTTTTGCCGTAATTTTCTCGTAATTTTCAGTGTCTTATATATATATTCGCCTAATTTTTAATGTTTCATTCTTGCCCATTTTATTGCAGTGCCCACTTCCCCGCCACCGTAATTTCTCCATTTTTTCTCACAATCCCTCTAATTGCTATCACAAAAAAAAAATTAAGATTGAAGATTGTTAATTAATTTTTTATAAATTTCGGTAATGCCTAAATGAATATAATCTTAAAATTCACAAACAAATTTAAAGTCGTGTGAGTGAGAGGAAGGTAATACGTAATACATTACTCTCACTTGTTCCACACATTTTTACACTCCAAAAACAAATACAACACTATATGTAGCTGAATTGCTACCCCTCGTCGTGTCTTTATCAATTTTCAACCCCCATCGGCCAATCATCCACAGCTCGTCCTATGGCACCGGTGCAAAGAGCTCCCCCAGCAAACGAGAGGGCCAATGCTATGCAACACCTCAGAAGCAATGGTGGAAATGTCGAGGTCATAAATCTCGTGTCGGATAGCGGAAGCGAATAAATAAAAATTTATAGCGCTCGCGGCGATAAACAAAACTTATGACCTGATAAAAGACAATGACAGGTTACATAATCAAGAAATTATAATCAAGAAAATAAATACCTTTTTTTAACATTTTTTTTTTTTGGATCCAAAAGCTCACAAGTTTTTTAAGACAATTAAATGTAGAATGAGTAGTAACAATACTAGTTGCAATCACTGAAACGTAACGACCTACCAAAAAGCCTTATGTTTAATAAGGTTTAACACTGATAACGTAAAGACCTACAATACAGTCATATTGTAAGATTTTTTTTGTTTTTGGGAATCAATAAACCATCTTTTCTTCATTTTTTAAAGTCATTATCGCCTAATTTATCTAATAGTAAATCGTACATTAAACAAGTGCTCACAATTTTGAAAGTCGTGTAGGTGAGAAGAAGGTATAATAATACCATTACTGTTTCACTGAATTGCACAATTCAAATGCCTTTCACAATACAAATGTCTCATCCTTATAATTTGAAAAGACCCCAAGTCAGAATCATAATAAATGGGGCTGCAATGAGTTCTTAAGTTGTATGTTTTTAATTCTTGCATGTATAATTAGTGCTCAAATTTCATGTTTTTCTTCTTGTATATAAATCTTTCAATTGCCATTTTAAATAACCAAAATTAAGGAATTTGTCTTGTCGTTTCTGAGTCTTATGTCTTATTGATTAATTACACTCGACCATTTTTTCTTGCTCTTCGTAGTGGATGTTTTGCTCTTCATCCGACAGTTTTCAAACAAATTACTTTGACATTTCAAATTGCCATCTTCAAAAGTTACGAGATTTGATTACTGTCATGATAATTTCGATTTCATTCTTATATTTCTACAATTATCGGTTAATTTTTAATATGTGCTTTTAAAATATTTCACTTGTGGTGCCAGGAATGTGTAACAAATTAACCAATAATTTGGATAATGGAAGTCAAATTCTATATAATAATTGACGTAATCGAAATATTGAAGAGATCTTTCTAGTCTTTCTCGTGTATGAGAAAATGGATATTTTCCCATGTCAGGTGACCCATAAACAACCGAAATATTGAAGAGATCTTTCTAGATCATTCGAAATATTGAGTCTAGATCTTTCTCGTGTATGAGAAAATGGATATTTCCCATGTCAGGTAACCTATAAACAAGTGTAATTATTGTAAGAAGGGTACCGAACATTCTAGATATGAGCAAAAATTGCTCCGTGGGAAACGAGATTTTTGGATAATAAAGAAAGGTACCGTTTTTGGCGAGCGAGATGAAAAAGATGTTACCGTTTAAATAGACATTTGATCGTGGTTTTCACGGCTTTTTCTATTTCAATTCGTTCTATACAACAATGCTAATTCATCACCGACTTGGTTTTCACGATTGTGAGTGTGTTTTATTGTAAGTAAATTTATTGTGATATATTATCCGTGGAAATAAAAATCTTTACGGGCAAATTGGTCAGATCCTTACTGTTATATAAAATTAACAGATATCTCAATTTGAACACGTAACCTACTATATATTCTGTTTTTGGAGTCAGATACTTATCTAATTCGCTTAATTAGAAAGCAAAGACACCAGAAGTTACAACTCAAATGTGAGTTCAATTCTGAGCGTTTGAGTGTATATGACGATATTTTAAACTTAAGATAAAAAAAACTTTTCAAATAAGGTTCAAATGCGTTCGCTTGAAGTGGGTAGCAGTATGAAATTAAATATGGAATAAGCGAATGCGCGCCATCAGGAAATAGGTACCGAATTAGTCTCGTTATAAAAAAAAAGTTTAGTAACATACCTTTCGTTTATCTGCTATAAACCTATTTTAAAATGAACAATTCGCTCAATTACTTGTTTTCATTTTTTCTAACAGGAGAGGAATGCTGGATTCCTATAGTTTGCGACGATCAACCTACTTGGAGAGAACTTACGGTGAGAGCTTTAGTAGTAGTTTCATATTGATGGTATTTCACTTCAATTCATGGGAACACTTTTTCACGGGGAACACTTGCTCAGAGACCTTATTGCACGGATGTGCAACCTACATGTCCATTTATTCAAACATTTCTTTCTTGTTCTGTTTCAGAAGGGACAATGCACAAAAGAAGAAGAAAAAGCTTTGGAAGGTTCGTGTCCACAATATAATTTCCTTCGACATACGTTTGCTATGTTTTCATATTTTTTGAACTGTCTGATAGCAAACACGCCTACAAACAATCGTTTTATTAGTAAATTTCAAGCATTTTATCATTTTATTGCGCCATACTTAACAATCAAATCATGACCTATAGTTTAGCAATACCCATCTAATATTCTTATTTTGGCGCTCCGGAAGTATGTGCACCAAGATGGCGCACAACCTGAAGCCTAACCTGATACACATACTATGTTCAGGTTGTGCGCTTGGTGCACATATTCCGGGAGCACCCGGTATTTTTAACCAGAGAGAGAGGGGTACATATCCTTCTTCTGACAAAAAATCACTGTTAAAAGATTGTGAAACTGATGGCTTAATTTAATATTTGTTTATATTCATGTTTCGCAGCTTTAACGAAACAATTAGACGGAATAAAAAGTGAGCTATATCAATTAAGAAAGGTGATGGAAAAATCAGAGACGAATTCTGTTGTAGGTGTCAAAGAAACGACCACTTTCCAGGGTATGAAAATCTATGTCTTGTGGTGTCGCATGCACTAGAATAGATATTAAAAAAACCTTTTCAGTCATAGTAATTGGTATTATGGCAATTATGCGAAGACGCTGAAGTAGAAAATTTGAAATATACCCGCATTGTCATTTGGTTTTTCAAAACTATAAATCTTGCTATAAATTTGGGCGCTACAAAAGTAGGCGGACAGCGGGACGTAGTATGTGTACCAGGTTAGCGTTAGTCCATATTTTTATCCGAATATCATTATCTTGGTTTTATTACGAGTTTGGGGACTAGCCAAGTGACTCCCGTAGTATTTGTACCTGAAATTTTGGCCTAACCATAACTTGGTACAGGAACACAATCCGGTGTCCGCCATTTTGGTTCACATACTTCTGGAGTATCCTGCTACATCCACTGTGCGTCCACAAACTACAAAAGTACTCGAAAAATATCTTATCTAAAGATAGCGTTCATATATCCATCCCTATTCCTAAACTGCTGTCTTCATGGCAGCCCAATAGCTCTGCATGCAACGTTCCCTCTAAGTTGGCCGAGAATCCCCGTGCAGTACTTTCGTTCTGCCGCGCACTAAGTATTGACAACAAGACAAGCTAAATACAAGCTCCAATTTTCCGCGCTGACCTTTTTTTTTGGAGCTCAAATTGCCTTCTATTCAGCGCAACTAAGCAAGCTCTCAGAGGGAACGTTGCCTACATGGGCGAGGCCATTTAAGGTTGAGGCCATATATCCATCCTTATTCCTAACCTGATGTCCATATGTCAGCCAAATAGCCCTGTATGGAAGAGGACATTTAAATGGCGACTGGGGTCATATATCCATCCCTAAAGATCTGTTGAAATCGCTTAGAGTGGAAGACGTTTCAAAAAATGTAAATCAAAAATTCCTATGTAACAGCTTCAAATACGGGACCGCGGTTACGCCACTCGGTAAAATAGCCTTTCAGTGAATAATGTTTTTCTGTTGTGTAAAATATTCAATTCATGACCGATGCCAGCATTTAAAATGTCTTGCCATATTCACCATGACCCAAGGGTATGAAAATGTATGTCTTTTAGTTCGCATGAACTAGAATAGTTATTAAAAATGTTCTTTCCTGTTATTGTTATTACGGCAATTATGCGATGAAGCTGAAATAGAAAAACTTGAATTGTATACGCATTGTCATTCAGTTTCTCAAAACTATAAATCTTGCTCTGAACTAGTAATATAAACTCACATTTCCACGCAGGATACAAAGACAAGACAACTTCTTCAGCTCGTACTTCTACCGTCCCTGCTACATTCCCGTGGTCAACTAAGAAAGCATTTCTCTCTACTGTGCTCCAACAAACTACAAAAGTCGAACAGAGTACAGGTTGGTGTGACCGCCTTTTTCCCGTTTTTTAAATGTTTCTTCCCTAAACGCTTATAGCACGCGTCCATATTTCAAATCTGCTGTCCATATTGCAGCATAATAACCCTGTATGAAAGGAGACCATTTAAATATCGATTGGGGCCATATATTCATTCAAATTCCTACCCTGTTGTCGATATGGCAGCCCAAAAACCCTGTATGAAAAGGGGTCATTTAAATGGGGATTGGGACCATATATCCATTCTTAATCTGCTGTTTAGCTGTTTATATTGCAGCGTATAACCATGTATGAAAGGAGGCCATGGTTTTAAATGGCGATTGGGATAATATATTCACCTCTATTTCTAACCTACTGTCCATGTGGCAGCTAAATCGCCTTATATGAAAAATGCCATTTAAATGGCGATTGGGGCCATATATCCATTCCTAAAGTTTTGCTGAAATCGCTGAGTGGGGGAGGTTTTAAAAAATGGGTATCAAAACTTCCTGTGTAACGGCTCCAAAAATGGGACGGCGGTTACGCCACTCGGCAAAATAGCTTTTCGGCGGATAATTTTTTTTTCTGTTGTGAATAATATTCAATCCATGGCTGATGCCAGCCTTTAAAATGTCTAGCCATATTCACGACCTTTCACGTCTTTTGTTATTGCATGCACTTGTATAGTTATTAAAAAAATTTCACTGATAGTAATCGGTAATAACGAGATTTTGTGCACACGCCAAAAAAAAAATAGAAATATATCCAAATTGCCATTCAGTATTTCATTCTTACCTTAAACAAAGTACTAAAGACTATATATATATCTTGCTATAAACTTGTAATATATACTCACTTTTTCACACCGGATACGAAGACAAGAAAACTTCTTCGGCTCGTATCCCAACCGTCCCTGCTACATCCCCGTGGTCAACTAAGGATGAACTCTTTCTCTCTACTGTGCGCCCACAAACTACAGAAGTCGAACAGATTACAGGTTGATGTGGTATTCTCTTTCTTGTTTTATACTCATAAAATATTTCCCCCCTAAACGCTTAAAGTACGCGGCAAATGTATTAATTAGGAATTCCCTGGCATCTGAGGTCTAGAACAGGAAAAGTTGCAATGTTTCGTGAAAAGTAGTACTTATGTAATAGTAATTGTTTTGTCTAGCGCCTTGTTTGGATTAAGATTTGAGAACAAATCACAAAAATTTAGTTGTTTTATTTAAAAGATATCAACGTGTTTGACAAGATTATTCTTGTATAAATAATTTTCTTTATTCCCGCAAGACGCCTTGATATAAGGCAGAGTAAAATTTACTCCAGATGGCGTCCGTAGCTCGAGCGTTGCCTCGATTTATGGCCTTTGGTGCTGTCGTTTTGCCTCGAGACACGAGAAATGGGGGTCTGATATAATTTCGTACTAAGGTACTTCCTGTGTGCGTAGCATAATGTTTTGGCATTTGTCATTCATGACTCTCACCTGAATACGTCATTCAAAAACAATATCTTGCGAAAAGGTCTGTTTATTTTGGCTGGCCCTTTTTGGATGACAATCACTATTATCATTCACCATGATAGTGTCTGGCTTTCAAATGGTGATTGGGATTATATATGAATCCTTGGCTCGATGTCCGGGAAATGATGTCGGCTTTTTTGTAAGAACGGCTGATGTGACAACGGCTACTGAAATTATAAACACAAATATACTGGTCAATTGTGCGTTAGTAAATACCGATTGACACGAAACTTAGCGCATATCGTGCAATTGCAATCAGGAGAACTAGCAGAAACTTTAACTAACTTTTTGTTTATCTATTTCAAATGACTAATTGACGTCTAAATTTGGAAAAAAATGCGTACATACCCATTTTAACACGTCCTTGGGCGAACAGAAATATAAATGTAATTTCCTCTTCACAGAAAATGAGGCGACCACACAAGATATAATTTCAGTAAATGCGACCACTCAAGGACTGTCAACTGAAGGTATAATCATTTGAATTTATACTTAGCATTTGAGAATGAGGGGTGAAAAGATTACGTGTGGCTATTGGACTGTATAAACATTTTAATAACGTATTAATAATTATAAGGTCCTGCACAAATAGCCACTGATGGATAACAAGCTATTATTTCTGAAATACCCGGTGGATTTTTAAACTCTAAATGCGAATAAGAAACTGTGCAGGAAACCACTGATACAGTCGATTAATCGTGGCATCCACTGGCAATCGTGTAGGTTGTCTATGAACTTGAGTCGTTGTTTAAAACTTCAGTTGGTGGCATGGGGATACTCGGTTACTAGCAAATTGTCAAAAAGGATAGAAGTTCCACAAAATAAAGCTGTGAGAATATTATCTAATTCTCCACCTCGTTCTGGTTGTACCCCTTTATTTGCTAAACTAAAAATACTCAAATTCAAAGACTTGTGTCTTTTTGAAGTTGCAAAAGTATTGTATCAATATTCATCAAATTTATTACCAAAAGCTTTTGATAATTATTTCACGGCACGGTCTCATGTACATAGCCACCACACTCGATCATCAGCCCAAGGATCATTTTTGTTCCCGGATGTAAATCAAAGCGGACACAAAACGCTCTGAGATACACCGGGGTAAAAATTTGGTATGACTTACCTCCTAGCATTAAAGCCTCAACATATCCAAATTTCAAAAATCAGATATGCAACTATTTACTATCCTTATATTCTTCATAAATGTGTGTTTCACTTCCCTATATCATAGTTTTATTTCAGTGTCTAGACATGATTCTGTGATTGTTGGTCTTTAATATTTCTTGAGCATTGAGATATTTTACTGTCATGCAGAAGTCTTTTCTCGTTTCAGTACTGGTATTTATTCCTTTGGTATCGTACTCTTTCTAATCCTTACTTAATATGTATTGTCCAATTTTTTCCCAGAAACGCTAACCGAAATGTGCCTGAACAGCACCGCTTCGAAATAATATACGGGGAAATCCCAATTCTATAAACAACAAGGTTTATGATTGCCTTGCAGCGCCATCTTGGGGCGATGCTGTTCTCGCATAAAAATGTTTCGCGCAGTGCTAATTTTGTAGCCATAAGTTTTAAGCTATTTTAATGTTGCCGCTGACAAGTAGGCCGAATGGTCATTTCGCGGTTATCCCGTCATTCTGTACAAATATTTTTTTATTTTTCTTGTTTTCATTTTGTTATATTTTATCGGAATGACGAATAAAAAACGATTTGATTGATTGATTGAGTTGTCTAATATTCAGTACTTTATAGTTTTTCTTGGTCATATTAAGCTTAATTTCTTCAATTCCCATTGGCCCGTATTATCCAGCGGCTAACTCACTGCTATATTTCTTTAGCATTAATAGCTCAGTCGCTGCTAGTAATTTCTCAGAGAAACGTTCACTTTTTCTAAGTGGGTCGCATGACCTTGCTTGAAGCAAATAAGATGACGTATGTCCGAAATTACTAAAGGGCTGACAATTGTATTATTGTAAAAACTACACAAGACAATTCTCCCGAATAAGATTGTTGATTAAAATGCAAAAATAAATGAATATTCTCCTTAATAAATATTCCATAAATATCTGACTTCAAACTCTCCTGGTTTTGATATTCTTTTTTTCAGAATGTGGCGTTATCTATGATAGGAAATGTTTCCGAACGATCGTTTATGGCGCGCGGAAAGTCACATTCAGCATTGCTGAATCTCTTTGCAAAAACAAACTGGCTAACATTTATGACGTCACACACTACAACATGGTTCTAAATTATTTACGATCAATGATGCCTGATGAATTGTCATGGATGCGGATTCGTACGGGAATGACTTACAAGGTCTGAATCATGTTGCTTATGACGCCATACTCATTATAATTTATAAATGAGGCCTATATTGTTACCGCATTACCATGTGCTATTATCTTTTATCTTTAGAGTAAACCCATATAGCTCAGAATAGGAGAGAAGTTCAAATCGAGCCATTTATAACACTAGCTCCTCTATGCTGATTTAAAAAAAATACTTTTGCTAGCGTTTTCTAGTTTCTATCAAAAAATTCAACCTTTCGTTTCCATGTAATGTTTCCGGGTAATTCAACAATTTGACTCAACACCAGTGTAACGAGGAGCTCTGATACTGATACTAATCCAAACCAAACTAATCACGTTATAGTGTCACGCTTCATTCTGTTTTTTTACTGGAAACCAAATGAGTTTATTTAGCCTTGTCAGGTCATTTGACAAAGATTACTGGTTCAACCATACTTAGCTATATTCTCGAACTGCCATTTGTTGTATTTATCAAAATATATTTTTATTTCAACAGGACGGTCAGCTGTATTCGACAACTGGCCAAGTTGTATCTTTGCCAACTGGGGTTTGGTATCCCAATACTCCGTATTCCGATGCATCTAGAACAACCGTTTCTGTTCGCATCAATCAAAAACCGGAAAACATATTTCAAGGGATGTTTAATTATCCTCATTCCTCTGCATTTACCGGAGCCATCTGTGAAAATGAGATATAACTCATAGTGAGATATAAGTTTGAGAGTAATTAATAATTTCCCTAGTAGATTAATTGAAACTTTAAATCACTATTTCCACAGTTGCACGAGAGATATACTCTCGTTAGCCACACATTCAGCTTAATTTACACCCAACTTATTATTTCCCCGGCCCACATTATATGAAGTAAATAGATCCCGCAGGTATTATGTCTTCATATAGGATTCAGTTGCGGTGTAGGGTAACCACTTATCACCTGTATAAAACGGTTAATTTACCGATACTTTTATTAGATGAATGCTTTTAAAACGTCACTAAGATAGAGTTTATATAAAAGTCTGAGGTGTTTCGAATCCTCATTCTGAACAAGACTTTGCAGAGAGGTCACTTAAACTTGGAAAACTAAGAATTGCTTGTTTTGGCTCCGCCCGAACCGTGATACATTAGAAGGTTGTGTGTTCGCATGGTAATTCGAATAATAATTGAAATTATATTGGAAAGAGTCAAGCCGATCAATTGGTGACCATGTTCTCTTATTTACTCCACGCAATCCATTCTACTAAACTCAAACCTGGGGCCTATATGTTGAGCCAATTCGGTTTAATGCTCACTTATTCGAATTGGCTGTCTGTCGAGCTTTTCTTGGGTAGGAAGTTTAATAAAACAGAACTCATTGTTAGATTTCCACCAATGAAACTATTTTTTATATCTTAAACGTGCTAAGGATATGTTCGATTTTATTATTTCAACTCAATTTGTTTTTGAGTGAATGTAAATAATCTTAAAATGTTGGCGATTTGGTTTATTCAAATATATATTTCATTTTCAAGAAATTTCAGTAAATTACGAAAAAGTTTGATACTTTCTAAATAACGGCTTCGTATAGTACCTCTAAATATTTCAAAATTAAGTTTCAAAAATTATGAAAAGGCATCGTCTTGAGATATTTGTCAATGAACCTAATTTTGATAAGGCCGTGAAATCGGAGAAAATTCACAATCGACTCTAAAAAAATCTAATTTTGATAATGAAGCCTTTGGTAAATGCAAACATCTATTAATAGACATTTACGAACGCTGAGTAAAATTAATGATTTTTGAATTAATAGATAAGTTTTGACTTATTTTGAAATCACTGAAAATGTACAATTCTGACAAATTCAGATCCTCGACTCCGGCTGTAGTGAAAACACCGATCTTTAAAGTTCGTCATTTCACGATGAATCGTTAATGCACATTGGATTCATTTAGAAAACTCGATGTCAAAATTACCATCAAACATTACCATCAAGTACACAATGATTTTGATTTTAAACATATTTGGCCTTGAAGGATTTTTATATTCTTCTTTTTCCTTATTATTTTGCAGAGTTTCTTTTGTTTCTGCTATTTTAATTTTTTTACCGACGAATACCTTTCTAAAACGTCGTCACTTGAATAAAAGCTCTTCAACTAAAACCTGTGTAAGAGTTGTTAAAATGTTTTTGACTAAAATATTTTTCACATTTATTTCCGAGAAATCGAATGGCCCATATTGTCGATTATTTAGGCTTTATATTTTCTTAATTTCAATTGCTATGTCCATATTTTTCGATGGATATATTAACAACCTCATTATTTTGCAGTGATATCTTTTTCAAATATCAGGTCGATTCGCCCGAAATTCTGGGTCTGAGTTTTCAATTGTCTTTTGTATTTAAACTCGATATATTTTTCGATTTTCATTAAATTATAGTTTCGCTGTGGCCTCAAAGATATATAAGGTATTCAAGTTTATCAAAACTAAAATTAATTACAGCATTGTCTTTGCTTTACAATGAACATGTTTTATTACTCATATCCCTGTCTAAATTTTTTTTTTTTTATGTGTTGGTTATTAGAATTGATGATTTTTTTATTATATTTACTTTGTTATTTTGTATGTGTAAATTTTTTTGAATCACGCCATTAAATAAGATATTTTCCAAACAATTTTATTCCTGATTATTTGTTAGTTAAAAAAGCTAAAAAAATAAATAGTATTGTACAGTTACAGTACTGTCTTCTCTTCAAATTAAGCAACTTTTATATTTAGTATGCCACCTCCCTCTTTCCCGGACTCATGAGACATGGTAAAAAATTTCATATCTTTTGCTTTTCATTTTTCTTGCGTGTGAAATAGTGTGATATAAAAATTTTCTTTGACTTTGACTGGTATTTTATTTCTTAGATGTGGTTCTGGATTTTATCCATTTTCTGCAAAATATTTCGTCAGAACAAATTAGCTCAAACGAACGGAACTTAACAAATGAAATTCATGAAATATAATTTGAACTTTCAGTGCAGAAATATTATTTGCTACTTTGTGTGAATATTTTTATTCGAGGAGAACAAAGCCGATAAGGCTGCTTAATGAAGAGGGTAAAGGTCACTAACAAGTAGAGAACCTTCATCGTTCATAATAGAGTTAAAGTCGCCACACATAACCAATTGCTCCGTACATGATGAAAGTTTTACGGTCATTTTTCCAATCAGATTCCGGAAGAAGGTGGTCTGATCATTTCGTCTTCCAGTTTTTGCATAGACGTTCAGAATATTAAACGGTCTTTTCTCGAGTTCTATGCATATTAAATCAACTCTATTTTCAATTATTATCTCCTAAATGATGACAATATTTTCAGTTTTCCTTGAACTTCGATGGCAGTATCAGATTTGAAGAAGGTAATGTCTGACCTTTTGTGGTTTAGTGTGTTGTGATATAATTTGTATTGAAAATTTTTGGACCATGACTCTAATTTAGAGGTTCCCAAACCGCGGCCCGCGGTCCAAATCCGACCCGCGTAACGATTTGAAATGGCCCACCGATTTGCATTCTAGATAGCGCCAAGTGTTACGCCATCATCAATGTTTAAGAACGGGTTTATCGAACAAATTCAATTAAAGCGGTATCTCAATTATTCGTACCGGTATTAGGATTACATAGGACAGTAAATTAGGTATAAATTAGGTTATCGATCGTTCGCAGCAAGGACAGTTAGGGGATCCCACAAAAGAGGAACTGCGGTTCGATTCCTTCGCTCTGACTCAATAGCGACACCGCGTGTCCTATCACTAATTAATTAATACCTCGCTAATTATACGACATTCAACCTCGCTAGCTTTCGTGACATATCGCGTAACATACGAAAGTGTCTAACAGACAAACAAAGAGACAAATACCTATCAACATACTTACCGATCGAGATCGATGAGTAACAAAAAGTAGACTACGAAAACAGAGATTTTTTGAATAAATGGCAACTAAACCGTCGCGCACTTTTGGGCGCTACACTCTTCCGGCCCGTGAACATCCCTCCGGTTCAAATTTTGGCCCGCGGCTGATAAAGTTTGGGAACCCCTGCTCTAATTGAATTATATTGGTTTTGTGCATTTCCTGTATGAGTAAGATATCCGACTTATATTTCTTGATAAGGGTTTCTATTTCAGCCCTATGTGTACTAAACCCATTTACGTTGATGGAGCGTAACCGCATTTCTTTTTGGTGTTGTCTGCTTTTTTAACCGGTTTGGTTTTTTCCCTTCGTTAGAGTCGGGGTTTTCGGGACTGGTATTAATTTTGGGATAGGGCTTCCAGCTTTTCTCTCGGAGCACTGTGACTTCTTGGTCGGTTAGGAGCAGCTACTGAGTTTAGCGATTTTAACGAGCTCACATCCTTGTTAGCAATAGTTTTTCTTCCGAGCAGTTCTCTGATAGGGCCTCCAATTTCGCTCTGTTGATTCAAAGACTTAACTGTGTTAAGCTGGGTTGGCGGTGTAAATACAAAAGTCTTATCCTCTCCCAATTATGTAGGCAGCACGATTTGAGCGAGCTGTATTTCTGGGACTTATGAGGGGTAGAGTGGTCCTTGGCTGCTATTTCCGGGCAAACTTCTATAATTAGTAATTTTATTTTATTGATTTCAAAGGGCACTGTTTTTTTTTTGGCCTCTGTGATGTTCTTTTTATATTACCTTGTTGGTGCTTTTACCGAACTGAAACCTCGTATATGGTGGCTGGAGTGAGACTCATTGAGACATCAATTTTTGCATCGCGGCAAATAAAGCTCTTCCGCAGACGGAAATCCTGACTGGCGACGACGACAAGCAGAGTGTGATGGTCACATCTCTATAAACCAGCCGGCCCTCAGTTTTGTCCAGGAGGGATTCTCGGCAAGTGTCCATCCCTTCAGCCAGTGGATTGAAAGATAAAATCCATCGGCCACGACTGCCACAGGCATCCTTTTGTTTTGGCGTATCTTCCCGTTTGTGGTGACTTCAGAAATGCCTCGTAGATTTCGGGAAACGACAGCTCTTTGGATGTCTCTACAAGCAGTATCCTTTCCCTCGATTTTGATTCGGACACCTGTCCTTTAGCAAAGTTGTAGCGTATGACATTTTCGGGTCCGATAAATCCTAGTGTAGTAAATCCAAGTGTTCAATAAAGGCTACCGTTCTTTAATTTATTTGACATACTATTACATTACAATTCAACAGTCTGAATGAAATGTCGAAATCTAATCTTCAAATATATAGTTTCTTAGGTACTGTCTGTGTAAGCCAAGTGCCCATAGGCTTCCGTCCCTTTATTGTGTTCCGCCCCTTTACACAACCTGGCGTGTTTTGCCCCTTTACACAACTTGAACAAGTGCGCGAACAACAAAATTAGTTACCTCCATATTGGTACAAACACTCCTGAAGCGCCAATTTTAATATGATTTTCGGACTGGACCAATATTTGCAGCTCTTGCATTTGCGACTTCAATATTTTATCGAGTGTCACATTCACTGATCTCAATAAGTCCCCACTTTTTAAGTTTGAATTAATGTCGGTGAAGATGATCGCCATACTAAATAGACTGTATTTGATTTGCCGATGCTGGCATTGGAACCAAGATTTCTTGTTCCAAAGACGAAAGTCATGACCATTGATCTAAGACTGAACAATGAGCATATTATGCCCTGCATTTTTTACGTCGTCCTGCTATATGGTTCGTCGCATATGGAGA